GCGAACCCCACGCCTTCCCGCGACCCCGCGAACCCCACGCCTTTCCCGCGGAACCCCACGCCTTTCCCCGCGGACCCGCGACCCCAACCCCACGCCTTTCCCGCGGGACCCCGCGAACCCCACGCCTTTCCCCGCGGACCCCGCGAACCCACGCCTTTCCCGCGGACCCCGCGAACCCACGACCCCGCCCCACGCCTTTCCCCGCGGACCCGCGAACCCCACGCCTTTCCCGCGGACCCCACGCCTTTCCCCGCAGCCCCCGCGGACCCACGCGCGAAACCCGCGAACCCCACGCCTCTGACCCCGCGAACCCCACGCCTTTTCCCGCGGACCCCGCGGACCCCACGCCTCCCCCGAGTACCCCGCTTGGTGGCAAGATTACTGACGATGAAACGGATGATAGGCTACCGACGACAAGGCTACTGGTTGGCTGGACTACTGACGTCTTGGCTCCTCTGTGCCTGGACTACTGACAACGAGACTGCAAGCGCTCGGGATTTTGACGATTTGAAAGTACTGGAGTGTCGTCTGGCGCTCTTTATTTTCGATGTAAATAAAGTGTGATATGGATTGTTATTTTGTTGTTTTTTTTTCTGTTTATTTATACCGACTGAATTGGTTGTATTCTGGTTACATTTCTCCTTAATTTTGTTAGATGTGTTTTCTTCCTTTTTTTTTTTTTCTTTTTTCGCAATACCTCTCTCTAGATGTATATCTTTGTCTCGCTCTACTTGTCTATAGCTGTCTCTCTCCCTCTCCCTCTCCTTCTCTTCCTTCCTCTCCTCTCTTCATTTTACAACCCTCTACATCCCAATTATTCCTTCCTGCCTCAATGTATTTTTTCGGCCCCCAGTTATAGATTAATGGTTCTACCAACTGTATTCCACCCTTGTCTTGATCGTCAGTCACCCCTTTGGCGAGCCCAGACGATGAGTAAAGCCTCGACCACGCGATCGAACAGTGCCTTGCAGATTTGGTCCGTGTACCGAAAGCCCGTCGGCAAGTGTTCGATTACGTGGACGTGGCTTGGAGTGCCTTGAGAGCCTTCATTACGTTTCAGACTCTCGGCTCTCAGCTCAGCTCATCAACCCTGTCGCCTTTCTTCCATACCTGTTCCATTTTCAGTAGAAAACATTTCTTTATATTTGAAAAAAATATCCTTTAAAAATTCTTTGAATGTTTACTTAATGCCGAGTTTCGGTTTCTCTTTGTTTTAATGCCAGGAATATACTTCCTTTTCATATTCCCAGACATTATGCCAATGTCTGTCTCCATTATTGTTAGACAAATACTTATGCCATCCCCTTTTGTTCCCTCGACATAAAAGCGTGTCTGTTCTCATCTCTCCCTAACTACAAAGTTTTCCATGTATGCCATATACTCGTCACGTTAATTATAATAAGCTTGAATCAAGTTCCCCCCAATCCCTTGCCCGTTGTTGTCGGGGGGGGGGTGGCTTAGGAGACGAAGACTGAGACCCAATACAGGGATCTCCCCTGCCTAGGGCCTCAGCCCTCGACTCAATTAATTTTGCATGGTATTTTCCCTCTCCAGCTTTTGTTTCCGTCTCTTCTCCATCCCCTTCTACTATCTACTTCCTAAGGTGTGAGAGCCGTGCTGAGAGGATGAAAGGCTTACCTAGTGCCAGTCCTGAACGGCCTGCGGGAACTATGGGCACGGTACTCCCGACTAATCTAGCCCTTACCTTCAGTAGCGAAAGGAGGTGGACCGTTTAGGCCTTTTTATATAATCCAGGTTCCCTATGACCAGTAATGAAAATGTAATCCCTTTATTAGAGGCTATGAGGCTAGCCCTTTTATCAAATAGCCCCAACCCAGGCTCTCCTTTGACCACGGCTCCGAACACTACTACCCACTCCTCAATGCCTACTAGTGCATTACCCACCCAAGCAGAAAATCAATCTCCAGAAGACATTCCTACCCACCCAATTTCCTCAAATTCATCAACTCTACCCCCGCAACTTTCATCAAGCAAGCAATCCTCCCTTATCACTACCTTGCAGCCTTATTCTCCATCATTCCGTAATACTCCCTCTTCCACACGTCCCCGACCATCCACCACCACCAACCCTACAGATATCTTAAATACTCTGTTTAGCCCAGCTAAATGGGACCGATTTTTCGTGATCCCTTCTACAGCTCCTTACTCAGGCAACACTCTTCTCTTTCAATAATGCCTCCAAAAACAAGTAGGTAGAGTCCCTTTCTATACCAAACGCGACCGCTCTCGTCTTGTAACAGTCAGATCAGAAACTGAATCTATAGCACTATCAAATTTAACTGATCATTCTGGCAAGCCCATTCCTGCAGAACCTCATCCACCCCTTAATACCTGTACCGGAACTGTCTCTCTCTCCCCAGCAAACTGCCCAGTCAATACCAAAGATTGGTCAGACTGTGGAGAAGACTTATTAGGATGCCTCAAAGACCAAGATGTAAAATCAGTACATTGCTGTACCATTCCTCCTAAAGGTCAAGGAAAGAATCCGACCAACATTGCCAAAATTACCTACCGTACACATGACCTTCCCTTACGTATCTACATCAGTGGACAACCCCCTGTTCGACCATACCAACCCCCTCCCCAATGTCAGAACTGTTGGCGCTTTGGACATCCTGCCAAACATTGCCGTTCCACAGACCGATGCCCCATATGTGCCCAACCTGGTCATAATCGATCAAACTGCTCAGCACAAGCACGAACATGTGCTAACTGCGGCGGCCCCCATAATGTATTTTATAGAGGCTGTCCCAATTACAAGTTTGAATCTGAAGTAGCAACTCTCAGATACAAAAATGGTCTCACTTTACGTGAAGCCAGACAGGAAGCACCTCGACAAGGTTTCTCTCACACTCCATACTCTAACATCGTTCGCTCAGGCCCTCCCCCTCCACCCCAAAATGTCCCCATTTCCACTTCTACATTCTACTTCCCTCAGACCAATTCCTTTGCCACTCTAAACCCAGACACCCCAATCTCAACCACAGCTCTTATCTCCACTACAGCCCCAACACCAACCCCTCTCCCTCCCGCACTACCCGCAGTAGACAGACTAAACATTCTAACCCTTCTTCCCCTACAGCACAATCACCTCCACCTACCTTTACCTTTATTCCTGAGACACCAGTCTCCTCTTCCCCTCCTCATAGAAAACCTTTATCCCAAAAACTCTTCAACCAACCCATTGCAGAAACAATTACCTTCTCACAAAACTCTCCAACCAATTCCACTGCAGAAACAATGGATGACATCCAAAGTTATATGCTTAAGACACAAGATCCCATAACTCATGCTCCTTCCACACTTGAAGTGGTTGCCGATATATTCATATCCCTCCTACTAATATTCCTCCTACACCCCTTCCTCCTACTCCCTCTCAGCACAACCTAACCCCCTCAATTCTGTCCACCTCCGATATCCATTCTCTGATATCCATCCCCTCTTACAGCACCCCTACACCCCTTCCTCCTAATCCCTGCCAAGACACACATCCCTTCAACCCCAACTATAGGCACATTCTCCCTCCCTCCATCCCCTATCTTTTGCACTCCCTCCCAGACACACACGAGAATCACTCATGTCACAACAATGCCCTTCCCCAAATTCCCTACCTCCTAATACCCCTCCTTCACACACCCTAGCTCCTTCTCCCCCAGATTCCCCAATACGTACTGTATGCGATATCACTCATAAGCTATAGCTCTCCTACATTGGAATATTCGCGGTTTCCGTTCTCATAGACCAGACCTACGTCATATCCTTGCTTCTTATAATCCATCTATTATCTGCCTCCAAGAGACTTTCCTCACACACCCTCCTATTCCAATTCCCAATTACCATTTTATCTCTTCCCCACACTCCCTTTATGTCTCGTCTATACTTATCCATCATAAAACACCTTATGTCATACCTCCCATACAAACTACTGTCCCATGCACAGTTATTCGCATCTTTCTTCGCCGCTGGTTCACAGTAATTTGAGTCTACTTCTCCCCATCCCATCCCATTGACTTTACTGCCTTTGAAACTCTAATTTCCCAACTCCAACCACCTTTCCTCGTAGTTGGTGATTTCAACTGCCGCCACACTCTGTGGGGTGACTCTATCACCAACTCTCGAGGCCGATCTCTAGAATGCTTCCTCTTCCCAAATAACCTAATTATTCTTAATTCAGATCGCCCCACACACTTTGACATGCGCACACAATCCTTTTCATGTCTTGACCTCTCTCTATGCTCTCCTATTCTACATTTAGATTTCCATTGGTCAGTTCTAGACCACTTCCCCTGTAGTGACCACTTCCCAGTACTCCTTTCTCCTACTTCATATGTACCACTTCCTAATCCTCCACGCTGGTGCTTTGATAGAGCTGACTGGCATACTTTCACTTCACTCTCTACTATACCTATCCCTCCATTCCCCTTACCGTCCATTTCAGATGTGCTACAATGTTTTACAACCACGATCCTAAGAGCTGCCTATACAGCCATTGCTCGAACTTCAAGACCATATACCACTAAATGTGTTCCTTGGTGGAATTCTGATCGCACCAAAGCGCTTCACTTAAAACAAGCAGCCTGAAACAGCTATCGCTACAAACGAGGCACCCCACGGCTATCAGCCCTTATTTACCTTTAAAAAGGGCATCTGCCCATCTTCGCCGTACAATTAGAAACAGCAAAACAAATAGCTGGCAAAATTATGTTTCATCAATTACATCTTCCACATCTATTTCAGCTGTTTGGCGACGGATTCATAAATTATCAGGCAAACATCCCCCCCATCCTGCACCCGTCCTCCATATTCGAGATACTCTCATATCTGAACCTGTCGAAGTAGCTAATGAACTGGGCAACTATTTCAGCCAGGTCAGTAGTGGCTCTCACCTTTCTCCACACTTTTCTTCCATTAAAGCCATCAAAGAACGCATCCCTATTACCTTCACCCTATCCTCTGATGAGTCCTATAATGCTCCTTTTTCTTCTTCTGAACTCACCGCTGCATTACAGTCGTGTCGCAACACTCATGAAGGCCCTGATGGTATTCACTATCGTATGCTCCGACACCTCCCATCTTCTTCTCTATCCCTCCTTTTAACTATTTTCAACCACATATGGACGTCAGGAAATTTTCCTTTTCATTGGCGAGATGCTCTTATCCTACCTTTCTTAAAACCCAATAAATCAGGTACCCTACCCCAAGGATACCGCCCCATAGCTCTAACTAGCTGCTTGTGCAAACTACTAGAACGAATGGTTAACTTCCGCTTAATGTGGTATCTTGTATCTCATAATCTCCTTTCCCCTTCCCAATTTGGTTTCCGACGTGCCCGAAGTACAGCAGACCCACTTGCCCATTTCGAGACATATATTACATCGGCATTTGCACGTCATGAATCCGTATTAGCCATATTCTTTGATCTAGAAAAAGCATATGATACCACATGGCGATA